GATTAGCATAACAATTAGAGTTTATTGATTGTTAATGTATTTTCTGTATTTATTTTTAGCCTGTTTGAGTCGCTTTTATGGCTTTGCCACCTTCATCATTTTCTATGTCATTCGTTTTCGGTAATTTTCCAAGCAATGAAATCAAAATATATTTTTGGATTTCTAGCTAAATTTTGTGTCATCCTTTTCTATGCGTTGGTCTGGGTCCAGGTACATAAATTAGCCCAATAATGTTCAATCAAATATCGTGCGAATAGCCACCAGATAAACATATATAAATCTAGATATATATAGATATAGCTATATATCAGACGCAGCTACTTTATACTATATTGAATTTTCCTTTCATTTTGTTTTTTTTTTACTTTTCGTAGACTTTACTTATTTGCATTTACGTCCTCATGTCATGTGTGTGAGCGAAAATTAATAATTTATTAAATAAAGAAGAAGCAGCAGAGAAGTATATAAAAACAAAAATAAAATTAAATTCTCAGCAGGAGCCCAGGAGACGCCAAAGAGAGCAGAGAGAGAGTGAAAGACAACGCAAAACGCCCACGCATTATTTTCCATGTCTTTCTACGACAGACGAAAATAACATTAAAGAGAATTTTCAGTTAGGATATGAACACGAATTATGTATAGGTAGTCAGGGCAGTACACATACACATGTAGAGATCCAACCGGTATTATCAGGTAGCAACAGTTGACGTCCAACAAAATTTAATATCAATTAGAAGCGGAGCAAAATCTATAAAAGATTTGTTCACTTTTATTGCTTTCGCATATATTCGTGGCTTATTTATTGCACGTCAAATTTTATATTAGTTTTTCGCCATTCTGCTAAAAGCTAAATACAAATTTAATTTTTTCAAATATTAAATAATTTCCAAATTTATTTTATTGAAATATTAAAGTGAAAACAAATAAAAATCGAATCAGACTTTCGAATATTTTGATGATAGACTCATCCAGATGTGGTATATAAATTGTCATATATGATCCACTCTTATCCTATATGTTGGCTGTTCTACGATTTAGATCAGAGAATCCATGACAATTTGTTATTTGTTAAGTGAATTAAAAATTAATAGACTATAAAGAGAAAATGTTGCTTAAAAGCATTAAAGCTAAATTTCCACAAAAATAATATAATATATAATAATATAATTATAATAATATAATAAAGTTAGTTAATATTATGTTTGATATAAAGAGAAGTTGTCTTTCATTATAGCGCTTTTCATTTATTTATATGGCATGTAAAAATAATATATATATTTCAATTTTTATTTTACAGGAGTTTTCATTTTTTTCAAATTGTTTTTTTTTTTAAATTTGCTTAAGCTATCGCCTTGACTCCTCTCGAACAATAAAAGGGCTTCTCAATAAACAAAATAAAATCTTAAATACATATAAATTAATAAAAAAATATAATGTGCACATTATCAATGCTTAATATTTATAATTTTTAAGCACATATATTTTTATTGCGTGTCAATGGCAAAAAGCGCGTCACAACGCACAAAGCGCCGAATGGCCAGACAAAAATCGACTCGCAGACCTGTTCCCAATGCACATATATACAGATATATATATGTATACACTTTATCTTTTGGTTAGCCGTAATATTTCTCGCGCCGACAGGCGACGCCGACCTTGTGTCACGGCTCAACGCGTAGAAAGCGAAAAAAATAAAACAAAATCAAATAAAAATAAATGAAAATATTGAAAAATCAAAAAAAAATATGAAGAAAAACTACTGTTAACATTCGTCAAAATGATTTTCACTTTAAAATGCAAGTTTGTTTGCTGCACATAAACAAGATTTAGATTTGTTTTAGTTGCGTTTTGTTTTGGTTCGACGCGTCGTATGCGCAATGTCTGCATGGCATTTCGGCCACTGGGGAACTGCAGTGGATGTGATTATTTTTTATTTTCATTTTTATGGCAGCGCATTAAAAATTAAATAGCAATTTTTTTCTGTTTGCTTTTTTTCTAGCGCTAACACATCCAAAATGAAATTAGCATAAATCAAGTTTGAAGAGCGAAGCAAAATAAAATCTTGTTTGACATTTGCCATTAAAAAAGAGCTACAACTTGGAGGAGGAGATGCAGTGGATGGATTGCTAAGCTAATAAAAGCAATAATTGTATATTAAATTTACAAAATATTAAAATAAAATTCATAAGAGATTATCGATGTATAGCATTGCATGACATAAAATAATTATATTATTTAAGACTCTAACGAAAATTATCCTGTATAATATATTAATATTCTATTGTTACTTATGTAATTCGAATATAAAATATATATATATATTAATTAATATATAATAATATATTTATGTTTAAAATATTTATAAATTATATTTAATATGTATATTATTGTAATATTAACATTTTTGTAAAGCAAACAAATTCAAATAAAATAAAAAATTAATTATAAATAAATAAATATATTAAAGGAAGCATAAGCTAAGATTACTTTTGCATATATATAAGCCAATTTTTATTAATATAAATATTAGTTTTTTATTTGTGAATAAAGTTTTGGTTGAATTATATAAATTCACTTTTCAACTATAAATTTTCTTTCTTTCAGTTTTCAAAATCTTCAGAAATAAAAAACCAGATATTGACATTGAACTTTTCAATTAATCTCTTCCATTACAAATTCAATTACGATTCACATATTTCTGCAGAAAATCCTAAGTAAAACTCATTAAAGATTCCTTTTAATTAATACACAATGTAATTGGCAATTTACTCGAAAAGTCTCTGCATAAATCGAGTCAAGCAATTAAAGAGCTTTTAGCTCTCGCGCCGAGAACTCAACTATTATTGATAAAGACAAACACTTCAAGCAGCAGCAGCAGCAGCAGCAGTTGGCTGCAATTAAGCAACTGAATAGGTTCGTTGGACTTCAATGGGCTAACAAGAGCGAGCACTCATAAGGCCCAGGCCAGGCGGATTCGCCATAACTCGCTGAATAAATTGCATAAAATACGCGCTGAAAGGCGGGCAATCAAAAGGCAACTTACACGAAACGAATGACAGGCAAGACGAACAGGCGGACAGGCGGACAGTTGGACAGACAGAGTGGCCCATTAGTTGGGGCCGATGATAAAAAACAGCTTGGGCACGCACGCACACTCACACGCACAAGCACTTACAGCAGCAGAAGACATCGCGCATACGCCGTGTGTTCGCCAAGCCAAATGCCAATTAAAATTCATAAACAATATTTTAATTGAAATGTGTGCAAAATATGCGTCGCTTTTGCCAATTTCAATTCCATTACTCGACATTTCACTTTGATTTCAGTGCAGAGGGCATGCAGAATATGCAAAGTGGTTTGTAGTGTAGTGAAAAGAGCAGAGAAAAGGAAAAATATGATCAGGACAGAAATGGAAAATAAATTTTAAACAAAATATATTTAATTACTGAATGTATATTATAATAAAATATTCAATTTATTTCTCAAAGTTCTCTCATAGTGCATATATCTAATTCGTATATTTACCGTTTGCATTTCTCAATTTCTCTTCAGTTTTTTTTTACACTCAGCCATATTTCTAATTTATTAATTAACGCGCGCATTTAGCGCCGGGTAAACAACAATTTATTTGTTTATTTGAATAATATTGTGAAATATTTAGAAATATTTCATAAATAGCATGAGTAATACTTTTGCGCGTGCTGGGCGTGGCAAGTTCAAATTTCCGTATAGCCTAATGCTGTCTGGCCATATGCTGAGCGCCTATTTATATACAGTGTCTACTGTTGAAATGAAATTTGAAAAGCGCCAATTGGCTTCGCACTTCATAAATGCCCCATTGCACCCCTACGCCCCTCTCTCTCCCACTCTTGTTATCTGTGCGCAAGCACTTTTTACGCGTTTTATTATGAATCTTATTTCTGGGTGGCCAGATATGAAAATTGGCTAATTTAAATTACGTTTCTGGTTTCGCGAATGCACAAAATCTTTTTGTATTTAATTGAAATCAATCAGAGGCACCATTCGCTGCTTGGCTGACTTTTGCTACCCAAAGACATACATGTATCTATCTTATATATTTGTTTATATATATTTATATGCCGTATAAACAGGCCATCACATGTTGGCCGCTAGTTGCCGTACAGCATGACGTATTAGTGATTTATTAATTGTATTCGACAGAACTATTTTAAATCGATTTATGTGAATTGATTTGGCATTTTGATTGCGCAAATACCCTGTATAGCTGAGTGATCAAAGCAGGTTTGATCACATGCTAGCCAATTGCCATTGTACAGCCTGTCGTATACGTAATTTATTAATTGCAGTTGACACAAAAACGATTGATGTGCATTGCATTGACTTTAAGATGCTGTAGTTACCCTGTAGACTTGCAAGTTAACAAATAAGGCATGATGACTTGCTAAATTCTAGTTTAGAATGGGTGTACAACATGAGGTATACGTGATATATTAACTGTATTAGACAAGGAAAGTGTGTTTTTGTAAATTAAATTAATAAGAGTTATATAAGAATAGTGGTATAATGCTAGCTGCTAGTAGCTGCTGAACAACATGACGTATACGTAATATGCGAATTGTATTAGACAGAAAAGAATTTATGTATATTGGATTATCATATTCATCTCAGAATTACTCTGCACATAAAGAGCAACCAGATGAAGGCTGATCACATGCTTACTGCTAGCTGCCACTTGCTGCACAATGGCACGTATACGTGATGTATTAATTATAGTAGACAACAAAGCGATTGATGTGTATTAAATTGAGTTTTTAATTTAACAAAATACTTATATATATATACATATATTTACTATATATATACATATATTTATGTATATATTTCACTCTTCTTTCATCAGCAAATATTCATGGACAGCCTAAAAATTAATTCAATAATCAAATACGCAATGCAAATGTTTTCATTCTAAACGATTTCGAATTAAACGTCAAATAATATCGAAATATATTATATATATAACATACAATAAGATACATTATGCCTTTTAAACTTTGTCTTTTGACTTGACAGATTCTATCTAAAAACTTCACAAAAAGACACAAGACCCAAAAATTTGAAAAATGTTAAAGGACGATGAAGCCCATTTGACGCCCCAATTTAAGGAGCATTATGAAAAGGAGGTAGAAATTTTGGGTCTGTTAGTGGATATGGAGAAACGTTATGCTGATTTCTATCAGTTCTACCAATGCGAATTGGAAACACAAAAGATTATAATCGAAAGAATCTGGCTGTTAACTCAAAGATATTTGATCTTGATCAGCTCAGCGCCAGGCTGTCGTTACCCAGAGGTGTATACGCTCTCCGCTGAAGAGGCAATAATCAATGAGTATGAGGAGAAGTTCGAAGTGATACGCGCATCCAAGTAAGATATTAACCTTTACATATATAGAATGTATATATATATATTGAATTTATAGCAACAGCATGAAGAATAACATTTTGGCCATTTACCTGGAGTGTAAAAAGTTCTATGCAGCCTGTGATCAATTGGATCGCAATCAAGAGACGCCGTTTATAATGGGCGATAAGTATCATCGCAGCATCTATGCGCATAAGCGCATGATGATCGATATATTCAATTACTGCTACTCGGCAGTGCTCAATTTGAAATGCTACTTGCATCAGTTGGATCCGATAAGTTTGGAAAGTGTTGAGGATTATCGCAAGCTACTCAAGGAGGACAGCTCAAATGAGGAGTTTGCTGAGCTCGTAAAGAGCACATTTGTCTACTGCAAGTGCCTCCACCCCCGTCCCACCTGTCCCATCAAGAAGCTCAAGTGTAGTCAAAAGCAAATTGAGACTTTCAAATATGTTAGCCGAACATAAGTAAGTCGCTTATTGATTCCAGCTGTAAATCTAATAATAAATTTAGTTATTTATTTCCAATTTCAGACAGCGGCGCCCTTGCCATTGTCCTTACAGATTAACGAAGTCATTAACTTGGTCATTAACTGAATAATGTTCATTGTCTGGCCACCCATTAAATGTTATTAAAAGCTCCCAATGTTCCACGATAATTGTCTGTGTATTTTACTGTACTTAGTACACGCACACCCACCCCCACCATTCGCCCCCAAATATATCTTTCGTCAGTTTGTCAATATTGTTCGTCTCTCATTACAAAGCAATTCACAGTCATTTTTATTCTCTGTGGTTTATAATTTCGTTTGCTTTCGCTGGCAACGATTTCCCTGTGAAATGTCAAGTGTAAATATGCAGATTCAGGCAGCTACGCATAATTACTGCGAGATGCGAGAATTTTCGAAGGTCATCTGCTGCTTTATGCTTCATCAATTAAATTATTTGTAATCAAATTATGCCTTTTAATAGCAGCTGAAAAGGTTATGTAAAACCATTAAAGAGGAGAGAGCACTGTAGGTGTTTCAAGACAACATAAAGTCTCCATGAGTTCAGCCTGAAAGCGTAGGCTTCCATAATTCTGCTCTGAGCAATTCTGTTCTGTTTCTGTGCTGCGAAGCATGGGATTGAAAATGGCTTAGAGAGAGAGAGACAGAGAAAGAGAGAGAAGTTGAAAGCTTGGAGGCACCTGCCAAATTTAACTAAACAAAAATATTTTTAAAAAACAAATATAAAATTATTTATTTTTAATAAAAATACCTATTTTATTTTATCTTAAGCGAAAAAGAAAGCAAAATATTTTAATATATTCTGTAATTATGCAGTATTATAATTTTTTTTAAATAATAAAATTAACTAAAAAAAGTTATACAAAAATTAATTAAATTAAAAATTATAATTTTGTTAAATGAAACTATTCTTAAAGATATTTTATATGATACAAATTATTATTTTTATTAGATATTAACAATAATAAATTAAGTTTTAGAACAAAATATATTTTTTTTAATTTTATAATATGGAAAATAAATTCAATTGTTCAGAAAACAAATTATTATTCTTTTAATATCATTATAATAAACTAGAAATATATATTTTTATATTTAAAAAATTTATTATATTATTTTATAGAACTAAATACATATCTCAAAGAAATATAAAATGTGAATAAATAACTATTTAGTTAAAGAAATTTAGTATACAGTCTGAAATTCATGATCTTTAGCGCTCTTTGACATTTGCAGCTGGTGATATATTGTTTAAAGCCCGCGTGCAGAGCTTTTGCTTTAAACAATGTCCTTTTTGGTGCAGAATCGATGGTCACATTCAACTCTGAACTTTTAGCTGACGGCAACAAGAAATTCTGTTTGTGAACCGAGGCTGCTGAGCAGGCAAAGCAGCAACAGCATTGAGCAGCATATCAAGCGTGTCTAATAGGAACACACACACGAACACACACACACAGACAGCTGCAGAGACACGCACAACAAATGGCATACAAAGTAGCAGCATTCGGATGAAAAAAAGAAAAAACAACTGAGCACTTGTACTTGTACCTACTGCCCATACGGGCACTCCCCCGCGTCAACAATGGCACAACGAACCCATTGAGCCAAGTGGCTGTCGACCACGCCCCTGCCTGCCCACGCCGCAATCAGAGCGCATTTGTATCTGAAACATGGCCGTTTGAGGTGGTCGAAAGGACACGGCTGCCGCTCAAGGATAGCATGTTGGACAGAACACACACAATCACGCCCACACACACACACACACAGAGAGAGATATGTAAAGTATATGCATGGCGTCTCTATAGGATATATTTTTAACTATAGCATAGAAATCAGTGGCGTCGCGTGCGTCATTCGATTAGAACTTAGGGCAGACTATATATATTATATATATTTTTCTTTTATTTTCACTTTTCACTGGTTTTTATTTATCTTTCATATATTTGGATAAGCAGCATTTTCGCTGATATTAGCGTGGCCCAAAGCTGTAGACCATGTTTATCATAATGACGTCGTTTGACATTTTCTTCACTTTGCAAATGTGAAAAGCGCAAAATTCTTCTTGTTGCTGCTGCTATTGTTGTTGTTGTTGTTGTGCGTGCTGAGTTTATTTTTAGCGCGCTCACAGCTAGGATAATTGAAAAGCAAGCACGACACACAACAGGATGTGGCAACACCCATAGTTGGCCAACGCCCGCATATCGTATTAACAGAAAGCAGAGGCAAAGGCAAAGGCAAAGGCAACCACAACAAAAAAAGGGAATCTCTGCTCTCAGCTATTTGAGTTATATTGTTAAGCTGCTTCAATTGGATCTATTTATAAAGCATTATATTCGGTTTGATGGCGGCTTTGAATAGCACAGATTGAATTTCAGTTCATCAGAAATCAGAAGGGGAGAAAGAATAGCAACGGAATCAAGTCCAAAGGGGATTAAACAACGAGACAGCCCAGTGTGAAAATATTATAATTTGTATTAAAAATAAAGATAAAAAAGTGCGAATACATAATTCATGGAATTTTCTTACTAAGTTTCAACTTTTAAGAATTTAATTTTAAACGTTTAACACTTTAAATATATTCTCTAAAGCAGGTATAAAACAGTTATCAACTATATAAACTTGGTAATAAAATGTCGAAGGTTCGATAGTATTATGATAATAATTTAAAATGAATTGACTTCAATTCAAAATCAATGAAAAGCCAGAAAAGTTAATGTATTTTTAAAGCAAATATTGGAAAAAATGCAGTCATTATTTGAAATTTGAAATTGAAAAATTGAAAATTGAAAAATTGAAAATTGAAAAATTGAAAATTGAAAAATTGAAAATTGAAAAATTGAAAAAATTTGAACTTATTATTTAAATGAAACATTAAAGTTTGTTCAACATCATTCAATTATTGAAAACAATTTTCAAACTAATTTCATAGTAAAAGATTTCAAAAACCAATATTTTTATGCCTTTAAATGCATATAAATAAAGCATTTATTTTTAACATTCAAATAATATTATAGAAATAACGTATAAATTCTAAATACAAAAATCAATTTTAAAAATTACTCAACATTTTAAGTATTTTTAAAAGCTGTTCGAAAAATAATTTGAAATATTTAAGTCGGATCCTTAATAAAAAAGCCATAATATTTACTTTATATGCCAATTCAGTACTATTAAATTAGCTTTAATATTTCTAAAGGTTTTCTTAAATAAATTTTGTAATAACATTTTTTTCCCCATCTCTGATCATTTGTAATATATAGATATATTGTTAAGTATATATGTCGCTCTTAACTTACCAATAGTTCCCATTTCGTGATCTTTGCAGCCGCTGCTCGTCGCGTGCGCTAATCCAAATTCGATTTGTAAACCCACTTTGGATAGATATTTCAAATATTTTCAATTTTTATTTCTGATCAGCGATGTTTGGAAAACTTATTGAAAAGTTTTTAGAATTATTATTTTGATGTTTTCAATATTTTTGAACGGCAACACAACAAAGTACAGTGGGTCGGTCGACTTGGGCGGGTGGGCGTCTCACACACACAATTTATAAAGTCACATTGCAAAAAGCGTAAATTTTTGTAGTTTTGTGTTTTCTTTTAAATCTTTTTTAGTGCACTTGTAAAATTGACAATTTTGTCTCGTTCCAGCGCCCAAGGTAAAAATTGAAAAACGCGCCAAAAAACGCAAATAGATGTAATTTGTTGTTTAAGTGCAGTGCAGTGCAGTAAGAAGTAAGCTGTGAGCGGGTACGAGACGCGGCACTCACTGAAATAATACACAAAACACACAGAAGCAGCGAAAAGACGTGACAGAGATAGAGCGCTAAAAACGGAATAACGAAATAACACACACGTCTACGCGCCTGGAGTTTACCGTTATGAATGTTTTCACAGTTTCCAAGCACAGCGAATTTTCATATATTTGTTGCATACATCGCGCTCGGCTCGGTTCGTTCGTTTTAGCGCTCGTGCGCATGGATATTCGGCACTCGTAAATATTTCGTTCGGTCTGGCCGAACACACACAGGCCTTGCTCGCGCTCTCCCGCTCCCACTCTATCTATCGCTTTGCCATGTTGTTTAACAGACAATTTCCATGTTGAAGCCCAAAAGCTTTGCTGTTGTTGTTTGAAAGCTTTTGGTTAACGAAAAGTTCTTTTGCGCTTCGGGTTCAATGCATTGTGCGTAAGTTGTGCATTTTAACACAGGGCAGGAATAGAGCTTGGCGAGGGTACTGGGCGCATTTCAATGAATAATTTAAATGGGTTTTATAATGATGTTTAAAAAGAGCCTACAAATTCGTAATACTTTTGGTAATAATAGTTTGCAGCGACATCATTAAAAAATATGTATGAAATTGTATGTTAACAATATGTTGTTAATTATTAATTGAGTGGTATTTTTGTTAGTGTTTTATTAATATAAGATCTATAAAACTTTTAACATTTATACTTTCATTTCGATATTTAATGGCAACCTGATTGCTATAGAAGTAAGAGATTTCAAACGTACTTAAGATGATGAAACGGCCTAACGCTGTATCCTTAAGGTCCTTCCCAATAGTAACAACGACTAGGGGTCCGTCGGGTTGTATGCTAATGTTCTATCTCTGAAATAGCTCATTATTTTTTCCCATAGATATATAGATATATTCTGTTGTGCCAGCGCCTTTATTAATTCAATAAATATGCCACAAAAATATTCCATAAAGATTTTCCCTTTATTACTTTGACACACATAAGATTCTATTAAAGAATGTCTTCCAAATTCACTCAATTAAAAGTTTTGAACTTGTTTTAATATAAATTATTGTGCTACTCCAGTAAACAGCATTTTCATATCATCTCTCTCTTTTCCACTCTCTCCTGCCCTGTCTCTCTGTCTTAGTCTACCATTAATTGTAAACATCCGTGACCCCAATTGCAAACTTTTAAACCAAATCCGCCTTAACTGGAGTTAACTTTATATAGTAGCTTAGCAAGCAGCGATAAACCTGCCGCAAAACTATTTTTAAGCTGATTTTATTACCTCAGCGATTGAAGCGAAATTAATTACCTTTCCACGAACAACAACAAGAACAAGCATTGTCTCCCGCTCTACAAAGCTAAATACCGAGGCTATGCTAGCAAGACAATATAAACAAAAGATTTGCAAAAAGAAAACTTCAACACGCAAGGACATGGGAAGCGGCACAGCGCATACGTGTGTATGTATGTGTCGGCAGCAGGTGTTGCCACGTGCTCCGTGCCACCTTAGCATAGAGCAAGTCGCAAGTCGCAAGTCGCGCTCGGCCGCAAATTAAGTTTTGCGGCTGAAGATGTCCTTGAACCAAATACACAAAGACCCAACTAGCGTTTAAAAAAGACAACGTCATAGGACAGGTAAGTCAACCCAAGTCCACCCACACGCAAACATAATCGGCTGACGTAAAACCTGTCTCTGCCCCGCTGAAAGCCCCAATCGACTTACTTGCGGTAACAGTTAACTTGATTATTTTGCAAATAATTGAAAAGGCTGCCATTGTACAAATTGCAAAAATAGACAAGAGTCACACAACCACACACCCACTCCCACATATATCCCTTTTCGCCTGAAGCTTGTCATTTCCGGTTCGCGATTCGCACGCTCGGTCGAGCATTCATATGAGCCGCGTCTGACGACAGCAACGGCGTTGACGTCGTCACCAAAGCCAGAAGCCAGGCACTGTGACGACAACACCCCAACACACAACACCCAGCACCCAACAACCCAACACCAATACCAAACAACAAGCAACAACTACAAGATATAGAATACTACAGTAACAAAAACAGCAACAACAAACATATTTTTTTGTTTTGGGTCTAGCAGAGATTATTTTACCCAACTCTCGTATATGGTTTCTATTTTAAGATATAGCAAAATTCCTTTAGTGGCATCTAAATTGTTTTATATGATTGCCAAACTTAAGTTGGAGCGAGAAGCTTTGCTTGAAATTCATGTCTGGAAGGCAGAAATAAGCGGAATTGAATTCTCTTAATTTAAGTTAAAGCAAGAATCTTTACTTTATATAGAAGATACTCAACTAACTTTTCATATGATAGGTAATTCTCTCTTTGTGAAACTTATCTGTTGTGAAATTAATTCTATGTTTGACTTTAAGGAAAGTTAATATGTCGCCAATATCATTATTTATCAGTTATAAAACTTCTCAATCAGTTATTAATACACTTAACATAATTGTTAATTAGGGAAAATTATCAATTATCATCTGATTAGATTTTGCTTCGTTTCGTGACAAAAATTTGCCTAAATTTCACTTTTTTGACGCCCTCTAATATAATTTATGATTGAATTCCGTTTTGCCGTAAGCTCAACTATTTATACCCTGGTTTTAAGTTATTTATACAATTTTGTAATATTTTTTTATTATTTTAATTTATTTTGAATTATTAAAAATATTATCTACTAAAATGAACCAAAAAAAGTAAATAATCAAAATACTTACAGTTTTTAAGTAGATTAAATAGATAAATAATTAATAATTAATAAAAAAATATATTTATGAGATAAATTTTAAAAAGAAATATATATATTTGTATATATATGTTAATATATAAAAATAAATAAGACACTAATTTAATATTTTTTATAATAATATATATTGTTTTGATGTATTTTTTATATAAGTCTCATGCAATAATTTATTAACTAATATAGATTCAACACAGAATTACCAACCTTATAGCATTTCTTAAATATTTGTTGATATTTTATATAAACTTCCCTCAACTTATCGCTTATTGACCCAGGTTCAGTCAGTCGACCTAACCCAATGGCAACTCCACTGAGCACTTTAACACTAAGACGCAACTTCTTCAATGTGCTTTGTCTTCCTCTTCCATTGCTCTCTTCCCCGACTTTCGCGCTCGCTCTCACTCCCTCTCTTGCATTGTGAGAGCAGCTGGCAGCAACTCCTTGGCTCGCTTGCAGTCTATTAATAGAGTCGTTTGAGCCGAAACTGTAAATATGAACTCAACATGGTTGCCAGGCAGTCACCGCCCCGCTTTGAGCGCTCCGCAAAATTAACAGGGGCAGGCAGGCAAGCAGGCAGACTGACGTAGAAACAGAACGAGAGAGTGAAAAAGGGAGAGAGCGCGGCAGAGTGAGCGAAAGAGACAGCAATTACCCAGTGGCCCAGTCTCAAACAGACTTCTGTCAGTTAGTCAGTCGCTGATTCGCGTTGCGTTCACTTTGATTCTTTTTGAAGCAATTTCTCAGTCGTTGGCTATGCACGAGCTGCTGCAGAAGCAAACGCGTCCGCACAGCGAGCCAAATGCGGGCGTTAAAGTTGGCGCTGGAGTCATCGAAGCTGGCGCTGGCAAGGAGCAGCCAAGTAATAAATGCTCCAGTGCCACGTTGTGCAATCGGCTAGCCATGGCCATAGCCACGGCCACGCCCACAGCCCTCACAGTGCCCAGCATACAGCTGACGCCAGCAGCACCTGCTACGGCTGCACCCACGCCAAAGGCAATTGAGAAACCCGACAACAACAACAACAAGGAGAACTGCAAGCTACAAGGTGCACCCACTAATTATATAGCACGTCGCACCTGGATAACAACGGACCGCATGAACGAGCTGAGACGCAAAGCTCAGGAGGCGGCGAAGCAGAATAAGATCTTCACCATACGCGGCTGCTTTCACTCGGTGCGTAATGCTCTGCTCGCCCGAGGCTGGGTCGAGAAGTTGGATGTGCATCGTAAGGTGCTGCCCTTGGGTCAGATGACCTTCGAGGATCTGACGCAGCGTCTGCCCAAGCGCAAGGCAGGTGAGACGAGGCGTCAGTATGTGCTCAAATGCGAACGGAATATCATGTCGAGATTTCTGGAGCATATGCCAGTGGATTTCCTCTGGACGAACCGTAAGGAGAAATGCGATTATATTGATCAGGCCAAGAATCCAGGCATGGCCATCAATAAGTTCCATCGTGCTCCGTTTACCTCGAAGGAGGGCTTGTGCAGTCAGCTGAGAGATTTCCATTGGTTCTTCGAGGAGGGCATGGCCGAGATGTACTTTCCGCGCTGCTACAATGTCTGGAGTCCCGAGGAGCTGGGCGAATTTGTAGACAACTTCAAGCTGACGGCCTGTGTGGCCTACTTGCGTGCCATGTTGTGCAAGTACCATAAGCAGGGCTCCGATTCGGTATTCTCGCCCAGCGGCAAGATACCCTATTCCTCCATAGACTTCGCCTACAAGCGGCTGGTCGACTACATCGACAGCTGCCAGCACAACGATATCGACTATGAGGATCCGCCCAAGATATGGGAGCACGACTGGGATGCATTCCTCTATCAGCATCAGCAGCTGGTCAACGAGGATGCACGCATCCAGCACGATGGACAGCGCACGCTCGAGCACATGGTCAAGAGCTGCATCACTCTGGTCGAGAAGATGAAGGTGCACTGGCCACAGTACAGCCTGGATGGCTATCAGAACTTGTGGATCGTCAAGCCGGCCAATAAGTGCCGAGGGCGTGGCATACTCCTCATGGATAATCTAAAGAAGATCTTGGGCGTTGTGAATCCATCGATAGCCTCCAAGAGTCGTTACGTCGTGCAGAAGTATATAGGTAAGAGGAGCACAGGTGGAAGAGACTGAAAATCTCTCAAATATGCCACTAAAAATACCCTGTAGTGCGTGAGTAGAGAGATGTGCTTGATCTGTAAGATAGGGAAAAAGCAAATTCTGAGATAGTCGATTACCATATACCCTGTAAAGACTATGTATAGAGCAAATGGCGTCAACAATACTTGAAAGCCTCTGAGAAGCAAACGAAAGTTAAATATAGAACTAGCAGATACCCTGTAGCGAGTCAATGAGAGCTTTGTTGTGGTTAGCTAACTGAAGAAGCAAAAACAACATTCCAAATACTTACGTCTATAGCAAAAAAGGATTTTCACATCATAGCGACTAGATAATACCCTGTACAAACTGTATAAATATGACTATTTAGAAGACGAACTGCAGTAGCTGCCCTTAGAAAACTTTGAGAACTGTGGGAAAAGATTTCTCAAATTTTTAAGCAACTAAAAGTACAAAATATCCGACTAAAACATATCCTGTATAGATAGTAAAAGTTTCTTTTTCTAGCCTCCTGCTTTATCGAACACCTATCATTGCAATAGTCGACCAGCATATAGCCTGTAAAAAGGCAATACAAACAAATATCACATCTAAGCTGCTTCACACAGTTAGATGCAATACGAAATGATTCATCACGCTTATTTTAAAAAATGTTTGACTAGCAGATACCCTGTACTATTATATAGCCAGTACACAAGTGTTTTTCTATATAGAGTGACATAAAATCACGAAATATTTGTTATTGAATGGCAAACAAATCTAAAATTCCTTACTCAAAAACTGCTCAACTAAAAAATACCCTGCATTTACAACAAATATATAGCTTGATGGCTTATATTAGTAATTACAATTTATTTATATAATTTATGGGTCTCATTGTCTTTGATGTAATGGGTGATACCCTTATCATGCCAGTCATAAGCACAGGGTATATACAAATTCAGCTCTGTTTGACGGCTCACTTCATGGGTTTTATTTAAAGTTCGTCAAAAAATGTGCATACCTTAACATACTTGCAAATAACTTCCTGCTCTGGAATAAAAGCAATGTTATAAACAAACACAGTCAAGAAGTGGGTCAAAAATCAGGCCGCTGACATTGTTGTTGTTGTTGTTGTTGTTGTTGCTGCTGATGCCTTAACAGTTGGGCGTAAACGTAGCAAGTTTCCTACCCATGACTGCATTGCACGCACATGCTTCGCACACGAATATATATATATTTATATATAAATACATATTTATAGAGCTATAGACATATATGCACTGTTGGCCTAAAAGCGCAGCTGTTGTTGTTGTTGTATGTGCTGAATAGGTATTGGAAATTTGCTTTATGTGTTTTGGTTGTCAATAAAATGAGGAGTTTAAGCAACAGGTTGAAGGGCAGACAGCGAATAATAGGCGAACAGAACGATGATAAAAGTGGGAAATAGAGAGAGAAGGTCTATACCTTAGCTACTTTAGAAGTATCTCTGTTTATTATAATCTATCTATCTATCTAACTATCTTATAATCTGCCACTAAGCCTAATGAAGAGTCTCTTAGTAAATGGATCTCTCTGAATCCTCTTAAATAACAACTTTCAACAGTCTAGGGAATCTCTTTGAATATTTGCATATTTAATTCTTCTACTAACTAAGAACTCCCCAATCCAGATAACTTCAAGAATCTCTTGAATTTTCTAACTAATAAGTTATCAATTTCATTTCAATAAACTTTTCTGTTGTATTGTCAAGAACTATATCATATAAAGAGAAGACTATACTCGCACACTTCGAACCCAATGAAGGGTTTATCCGAAAAAAATCTATGCTCCATCAAACTAGGAATCAGTAAAAGTCTGTATACACACTGTACACTTCAGTTGCATTCGGAAAGAATCTTTATGAATGCCATATCTATCTAAACACATTAATAAAAGAATCTTTCCTAATTTTTCATATCGCAACAAAAGATCTCTAAGAATTCCTTGCAAATCTACACACTTTCACTAACTTCCAATAGTTTGAAAAACATTCTGAAGCTTTGCTACCTTCCTCACCAACAGGTTCTTAAGAACTCGCTAGGAATTCCTCACAGAGCTCCTCAAAGAACTCTACAGAACTCCTTTAGTAATCTTCTAGCGCCTAACCTAACCTTAAGACTTTCTGTATCATTCATACATTCATAGTAACAATATGTCCTTAAAAACTTCTTACAGAACTCCCTGAGAACTTTTCTAATAGTTCTTAAAACTTTATTGCAAACTCAACTGTAGACAATTTAGTGATCTAGAAAAAGAGAGAGTTTTAGACCATTTCATTATTGATTATTTTTTAATTTTTTACCTAATAAGCTTACAAATTTTCAAACATCTCTTTAAGAACGCCCTCTTATAGTCTTCCAAACCAAGTTCGATATACGCCAATGGTTTCTGATAACCAACACTCAGCCCCTGGTGGTCTGGTTCTATCGGGAGAGCTATCTGCGTTTCAGTTCGCAGGAATACAGCCTGAGCAATCACCACGAATCGGTGCATCTCACCAACTATGCGATACAGAAGAAGTATACGAATGGCAAGCGGGACAAGCGGCTGCCCAGCGAAAATATGTGGGATTGTTATTCGTTCCAGGCCTATCTCAGGCAGATCGGTAAATCGAATATGTGGCTAGATCGCATATATCCGGGCATGCGTAAGGCCATTGTGGGCACTATGTTGGCATCGCAGGAGAACATGGATCGCAGGCCCAATACCTTCGAACTATTTGGCGCCGATTTTATGATATGCGAGAATTTCTATCCCTGGCTCATAGAAATCAATTCAAGTCCAGATCTGGGAGCGACGACCAGCGTGACAGCTCGCATGTGTCCCAAGTGTTTGGAGGATGTGGTCAAGGGTGAGTTTAAGAAACTGACAGAGACTAAGACCAGAGACTGAGATCAGAGATCAAAGATCAAAGATCAGAGATCAGAGATCAAAGATCAGAGATCAAAGATTAAAGATCAAAGATTAGAGATCAAAGATCAGAGGTCAAAGATCAGAGATCAAAGATCAAAGATCAAAGATCAAAGATCAAAGATCAAAGATCAAAGATCAGAGATCAAAGATCAAAGATCAGAGGTCAAAGATCAGAGATCAAAGATCAGTGATCAAAGATCAGTGATCAAAGATTAGAGATCAAAGATCAGAGGTCAAAGATCAGAGATCAAAGATGAAAGATCAGAGATCAGAGTCCAGAGACCAGAGAGACTAGAAAGACCAGAGAGACTAGAAAGACCAGAGAGACCGAAGACCTAAGACCCTAAGACCCAAGACCCAAGACCTAAGACCTAAGGTCTAAGCCCGAAGACCTAAGAACTAAGAATTAAGACCTAAGACCCAAGACCTAAGAAATAGGACCTAAGACCCAAGACCCAAGACCTAAGACCTAAGACCTAAGACCTAAGACCCAACACCTAAGACCCAAGACCCAAGACCTAAGACCAGACGCTGAGAATAGAAGTTGAAACCAGAGATTGCAACTGATCGGGAAGCTGAAGAATGACGATTAGGAGATTGGAAGACTGGGAGCATGAAAGTAGGAAGTAGGACGGAAGACAGATGACTGAAGACTGAACCGGTTCACATATTTCATCTACTCTTCCAGTTGTTATCGACCGCCGCCTGGATCCGAAGTCTGATATGGGCAACTTTGAGCTCGCCTATCGCCAGGTGGTGCCGCCCACGCCCGCCTACATGGGGCTGAATCTGTTCGTCAAGGGCAAGCAGCTGCTGCATAAGGCGAATCATGGCCATGGCCATTATTACTATCAGCAGCAGCGCAAGGAGCGCAGCTTGGCCACCAGCAGCGTCTTTCGGCAACGCTCCGCCATTGTGCCAGCTGCCACGATATCGCGCATTCACCGTGCCATGCCCACCTTCAATGCCACGGAGTATATGGAGAAGTATATGGTGGAGCCATTGAGCAGCAGTCGCAGCAGCATTAGCAGCACGCAGCCAGCAAGCAATGTCAAATCTACAACAGCAACAACAACAACTGCAGCAGTTGGCATTGCTACACCCTGTCCGTATCTGCTTAAGCAAGCGGGTCGCTCCATTACGCAACTGCTAAGCGTCACCCACAAGCGCAATGGCACCATGGGCGTTGGGGCTGGTGCCGAGGCAGCTGCCAGCACCGCTTTGCCGCCGAAGCGCCAGCGCAGCTGCGGTCCACGCTTTGTCAATCAGCAGCTGGAGGTGACGGATAAAAAGTTCAAGATACTCATCAAGAACTATGCCAATCAGGCTGCTGATAATCTGCTCGAGAAACAGGAGCCTCCCAGTGCGCCGGCCACAGCTCCAGTCATGGGCGAGCGCAAATGGCGCAGTTTGCGCAACATCAACAACAACAACAACAACAACGGCAACAGCAGCACCTGCAACAGCAACACTGCCACGAGCTGCTCCCGGCTCAGAGCTGCTCCCAATTTGCTCGACAGCAATTGCTCGCGTCGCTTTGCCCGCGCCAAATCAGAAATCGAAAGTTCGGCCAGCCTGCATGCCATCGGACGCACCTTTGGTCGCCGTTCGTATGGACCACGGCTGCCCATTAGCATCTCGGTGCAGGCTCTGCATCGCGGCGAGCCCATTGTGACCGCCATGAAGCAGGCCTCCAGCGAGCAGCTGCAGCTGCAACTCACCCAAACCCAATCCCAATCCCATTCACAGTCCCAAGCCCACACCACGCCTCCCATCAGTCCACGCAACGTTACACTGGCCAACAAACTAACGGTGCCAGCGCTGCCCACTTGTTGAACCACCACTGCCATCACCTCATCACTTTCACCCACCCACTGAAGCATTGTCCATGAAAACGTCTATCCAAATATCTTGGGAATTCTTTTTTGAATCAGCCCATTCTTAACTTTTTCCTAACTAGAAAAACTTTTGCCCAAGTGCTTTAAGATTACATTTTTGAATTCGTGTCTATAAAGTTGTTGGAATTAAATTTCTGAATCTTTAAGAACGTGAATACTTCTAACTCATTGATACTATATTATAATATAATATTCCCATATAAATTATCAGATAAATATTAGCTGTACGCTACAAACGAATTATTATGAATTCTTCTAATATTTTAAACCATATATCTTCATATTTATATATAATTTGGTACTTATATTTCCAAAAAAAATTTTAAAATTCCTAAACAAAAAATAAAATCCTAAGCAAAACTCTTGAAATTAAAATTTCATAAATTTTTAGACTTTAAAACTACTTTTCAAATCCCAAATAACAAAGGTCTTAAAACAAGTTTGATTAAAGAATACATTACAAAATATATTGAATTGGCTCAAATTAAAGTTCGAAGCTCTCAAATCGATGCGGAATAGAATTATAGAATACATAAAAAATATTTGCTTTGCTTTAAAAATTAAAATTAAATTCAAATTTAGTTCAAGGTTCAAACTACATCATCAAATTGCATTTTGTAATTTACATAATTTACCCAAACTAAATCTGCCTTATAAATTATATTACAATTATACTTAGCTTTGTTCTATAATCTTCACAACTTTTGAGATTCTAGTAGAATTCATATAGAAAATATCCAGTAACATTTGGTAAGCACGTTCAATTCGAATTCCCCATTTGGATTTACGTTTTCAACAGTGAGGAGATTGTTCGTTGACTTTTCTTAAACAAAATTTCTAATAATAATATAACTTAACATAGACTATATTTATTGTATATTATTTGTATTATGAAAAAATTGTTAACTGTTCATTTTACTAACTACTTGATAAAAGAATTTGATTATCAGCTAATGGTGACTTTCAACGACAGCGAGAATCATATTCGTGTATCTCCAACCAGTTCAATAAATTGTTGCAGTTATTTTAATTATTTTTGTGTTTGTTATTAGTGGATGTTTGTATAGCAGCTGGAATAGTATTCGATTGATTGCGGCAAAGTTAAGTTACACATGGCTATGGACACTGTAAATACAGCGCTATCCGGGGATATATTTACACACATATTTAGAGGTTAGTCGCCGTAAGTAACAGTCGAGAGCTGTGCATCTACGTACCAGACCCTTCCCATCTCATTTGGGTGCCGTGTATTGCAACGCCAAATTTTCACGTGCCTTGGAATTCAGCGTTGTTTTGGCATTTGCACTGAGCATCCTCGAGCCCACTTGAGTCAGCTTCTTAGGAATGAAATATATAGTTATAAAGCAAGTTGGGCAGCGTCAACTCGATCACGGCCGAGTACAAACTTAAAATCTGAAGAGACAGTCTGCAGTGACTTAACTTTCAAATTTTATAGCGCTACTAGCTCCATGCCCTCGAAGAACGTATTCGGAAAATCTAAGTACTTTATGAGACGGAAGGTAACCAGAAGGTATCAAGTCTCTAGCGGCGAACGGACGAACGGAAGGACGGACAGCAAGCCGGACATTGCACAAAGCCAATACGCACTTCTCACAGCGTGCACGAGTATTCTTTTATAGATATTGCAATTTGGATGGCTTACTTTGGTGCCCACTTTGCCCACAATCACTTTGGCTGGCGTATTCGAGGCATTTTTGTTTTTGTCCTTGACAAATTTGCTGCTAGTCGATGTTCGGACATTGTTTAAAAATTTGCGCAGCAGCCGTGTCCTTGGACTATTTCGTAGCTTTGGCAAAGCGTCAAGCAGCTTCATTTGGGTGCCATTGAGCTCTAATGGCCGTGTCCCATCCATCTCCTTGTGCACATTGTAGTTGACCTGAAAGGCACGTTCGAATAGACCCGTTGCGGCCAGGGGACTCCGGGGCACATCCAAGACGACACGTATACAGTCCTTCAAGGCCAATGGACATATCCTAGCTGTCACCTCAGTTGAGGGCGATAAATCAGGCGTCGAATTGATCTCAATCAATATGGGATTGAAATGTTCATCGAGCATGAAATCACAGCCATACAATTCAAATGCATTTGGCACCAATTCCGTCTCATCTAAGCTGGCCAAGACCACAGCAACCAGATTTTGCTTGAAGCCATTGTAAATCTTAGCCCACGTACCATCCGGTGCACCAACATGTCGCAGGTGGCATTTGAATTGATCCAGCGACCACATATTGTTCTTCGGTAAGCGCGAATCTCGATTCACTTTGTTCTTATAACGTTTCTGCACTGAATTGTTCGTCAGGTGTATCGATTCACGTAGGTCATCCATTGTGAACTCCTGGGAGCTAAACCTCAAATAGCAATCGCGATATGTCCAAATCGTGACCTGCGTATCGCTGATCGTGAGCAGCATATACTGCCGTATATCAAATTTGGTGCGATAGATTAAAAATGGACGTTCTATAGCGAAAGCGAAAAGGAATACGTTTTGTTAGCTATGTGATATGATTCATTAGTGGAACAGAAGTTATAGCAGTTCTTAATTATGCATCAAAAATCAATCGATTTTTATCGATAAAAAGACAGAGAAGAGCAGCAGAGAGAGTCTGAGAGGGACACAGAGACGGATAGAAAGAGAAAGAGAGGCAGTGAGATAGATAAACAGACATACAGATAACTAGGGCTAGACGAGCTCATCGATCTATGCTAGAGCATGCAGACAGATACCAGATGAAATCAGCCACGCCCTCTTCGGCATAAGGATACATTGAAAATAAACTATGTTTAAAAGCCCATAAAAAGAAATACTTCGTTGAGGACAGCATACTTTTAGGGGCATTGGCTGCAGGACTATGACATATATAAATATTTGATCTCTTCAATAAAAAGTGTTATAAAGCAGACAAAGTACGCAGAATATGAATCGCTTCCTTAATTTGTACAAGCCAGACATATTACCTTTTCAATCAAAAAAAAAATTAAAAGAAATAAAAAAAATTTTAAGCCGATTTTTTCCTAATTCGATCAGATACTTCCACTCACCTATATACTTTTGGACGATATATTTGCGGTTTTGATTGTTGGATGTCCATTGCAAGATGTCGTCCAGGGAGCTGCGTATGACAATTCCTATACCGCGCGATTGATAGCCAGGTTTCAAAATCCATAAATTACGACACCCATCCCAGCGATAGTCGAGCCGAAGCGATTCAATTTGATCCAGATATTGGGCAGCAAGACGCGAATATTCCGCCATGACCTTCTCGTTGATTTTGAACTTGGAGCCGTGGTGGAGCACCTTCGAAGACTGTACCATAAACGATTGATTCTCGATCATTTCAGTTGGCGTTGGCAGCTTAATACGCGCATCATCCAATGAGTAATGCTCCTTCTGTCTGATCATAGCCTTCACTTTGTTTAGTGCAAAGTCTATTGTATTGCTCAGCACAGCGCCAGCTTCCATATCGACCATATCGGCTGGACGGTGCTCCTTGATGTACCGTAGCAAACAGCGCGCCTGCGTCTGATGATAATCTTCTATGAATGCTGCACGCTCCTCCATACTGTTGGCGCCCAAGCGATAAAAACGCGGATAGCTCATGCCACAGACACCGTCTTCGCGAAACCAACGCTCCTGCTCAGCACAACCGACTAAGCCAACTTTGGTGGAGAAATCTAAAAATTGGCTACGCCTGACTCGATTCCGGAAAGGCTTCACCTCCGGAAACAAATCGCGTTGTGCCTTGCTCTGCCAGATGAAAAATGAGGGGAAATTATTGATCATTTTCGATATGACAACTGCCTCATAATCATTGCCACGCCTAGCATGCTCCAATAGTGAGTCCTCCGACATGTTCTGCAGCTTGGCATGCCGACCAGCTGGTAACTTCTCAAGCCAACCACGTCTAACTAGCGCTCGCCTGACCGTATGATAATTACCGTAAACGGTAAATATCCGACGATTGCGATAGGCATCGATAACACGCGTTCGATATGTGTTGCGCAATTGACGTTTGTGCGCATCGGGCGCTAGCCCAACCGATGAATTTGTCGCTTGGTTTGCGCGTGCCTGTGACAATATATTGTTAAGGCTCGTGTGCTTGAGAGGACTGCCCGCTTGATGCGATATGATATCATCGTATTGGCTATTGCTATTCGATATATTCTTTGGCATCGAACATTGCTTACATAACGTTATCAGTTCAGCATCCAGATTTTGAATCAACGATTGTATCCGGGAGACGGGATTATAATATCGATTACGCTGTGTATTGAATGCACTCGATGACGCCTGGCTCATATTTAAATTCTTTATGTATATATATATAAATATATATATCTATATATTTATATATATATATCGAGTTATCCTTTTTATCCTTTTTTTCAGTTTCGACTTGATTTTCTTTTTGCTTTATTATTGAATTTTGAGAAATGCGAAAGTTGATAAAAAATTGAGCCTGTTTACCGATATCGATAGGCTCAATTGTTGATGGGGCTTGCTTCGGAAGACGATCTTTATTGTTATCTCGAGCTGGTAGGCGTCAGGTGTTGTGTATTTTTTTATATATATATTTATATATCTATATATATAAATATATATATATATTTTTAGGCCGTATTTTTTTATGCAGCAACTAAATCAGTTGTCTTTTAGCCGTAATTGAACGAGAAATTTTGAAGCAATAGCCAAACCTTGTATATGCTAACAGTATCGCATTTAATTAGGCAATGTCCGTATTGATTTATGAAACATAGCTTCGCTTAAACGGTAAAAAAATTTGAGACCAAAAAAACTTGTAACGAAACGAGTGCAAGACGAAATTTGAATTAAACATACACAAATACATACAAAAAAAAAAGGCATTATGTAATGTTAATATCACAGCTTGCTCCTCAGAAATGCTACAGAATAAATCAGCTTAAGGAACTACTTCCAAATACATCATATATTTTTCTTCAATTTCGTTCGCATCTCATTGTCTAATTTGAATATGGTGCCATGTCCGGGCACAATATATTGGCATAATTGCGCTATGCGATATCGTTGCTCCGCCTGTTGTTTTTCATCCTCACTGCCAGCAGCTTTCCATATCTGGGCATCATCTATATCCTGACAACGCTCGAAGAGATCTCCGCATACGCCCACAGTGGTGCCGTCAAATTGGCTATTGTGTATTAGAACCGATACACAGCTTAACGTATGCCCAAGCGTCTTCTCCAAGAGCACCTCTCCGTTTGTGTCCAAAGCACCGGCATACTCAGAGTAAAGATCATGCTTGGACGCAGTGGAGCCGACGATATGCAAGCGCGCTTGCTGAAATAGATAATTGCAGCCAATATGATCGGAGTGTCCATGTGTGCATACAACCACATTTATGTCATCTGGCTGCAATCCCTGTTCAGCTATGAGAGATTTTAAACGTTCGCCATCCCATGCGGTCAAGGTGTCTACGATAATATTGTTACCATCGCGGCAACGGATTAGAGTGCAGCTGCAATTGGCACGCATCGCATTTGGATCAATTTCATCCTCATGGGCATAGCCCGATTGTAGTACAATTACTTGATTCTCTGACATTGATTAAGTAATCGAAATTAATATCAATTATAACTCTCAACTTTTCAAATTCAAACTAATATTTTTGAAATTATCAGCTGTTTGTAGAGTGAACTAAAACAGTTGCGAACTAATGAAGCATGCTCACTTTTTGTAGTTCCTTATATGAACATTCCTATTTCGATTGTATTTTTTCGTGTTGCTTTATTTTTGCCTTCCTTCGTTCTAGTAGTTCTTTTTGTTCCGGGGAACTTTAACAGCTGCGTTCCTTTTACATGTTCATATCAGCTTATGCCGATTGCCTACTCACACATTTAAAAGCTGCTGTTGCATTGCCAGGGCTACAACATATTCCACATAAGTTGGCAGCACCAGCTCGACTGTTGGTCATCGCGCCCGCATTTCGCAAGTCGCAATTTGTTTATTATTTAACACACACGATTTTTCTGTATAAAAATTGCAAATTTTCTAATGTATTTAAACTACCTGCCGCGTTCGCCATGTAAATGCCTGCAATACATGCAGCAAGTGCGACAACTGCACCTGTTACGCCGACATGTAAATATGGGCGCAAAGCCGCCTATAAGAGAAACAACACGCTTGAGGCCAACATCAAAACAGCTGCAGCAATTGCAGTCCCTTGCTTACTCCAACAGCAGGCAACGTGCAACGTTTAGCAGTGATCACGAGCAACTGGTGGATGAGCTAGAGGGCTGTGAAATGTCCTTCACCACCGCCAATTTAGAGGATGAACTTAATTTACATTTGAGTGCAGCACGAAGTCCACAAGAGCTATTGGAAATGTTTGCCCAAAGCCAGCTGGAGCTCACAGATCGCGTGCAATGCATCTCTGTGCTCTGGGCACACTATCAACAGCTGTCATCCAGCGAGAAGACAGAGCTAACTCTTCAGCTGCAACAGCTATTGCTTCCCTCCTTGGCATTCCATGTACCGTCTATGAATATAGATCAACTGAGCTGTTGCTATTTGTATCTACGCAAGATGCACGTACCCAACAGTGATCACACGCTAGAGCGCATACTCATGCGCGCTCTAGAAATTATAGAGTTGACTGTGGATAAAGAGTTGGTAGCTTTACCCGCGCTGTCTCGCTTGTTGGTGGCCATCAATTTGGAACGGGATTTCTTCACGCCACTTGTCTGTCGCAATTTCATGCCACATCTGGAGGAGCATGTGACCAACTGTCAAAGCGATCAGGACGCACGTCTACTATCCACCTGCCTATTTCAGCTACATTCGCTAATCGACGCAGAATTGTTAAACAGATTCAAGCAACGAGTATTGGAGCTGCTGCAGTCCGGAACGTTGAGCAGTGAAACACCTAAGACTCTACTCAAATTGCTGCACATGCTCAATCTGTCCAATTGGTCACATTTGAATACTGCCATAATACGGCAGTTGTTGCTGACGCTGCGCAACTGTGTACCCGAGCTCGAGTCGAATGATCTGAAGATTGTTTGTCGCACATTTCTGCATCATCAGGAACCGGCGGCTCTCGTGGAACCGCTGAAGCAGGCAACAACTGCTCTGCTGCAGCAGGAGCCAACGGCCGATGTATTATCCTGCGCAGTACCATTTGGCTCACTGCAGCAACGCGATGATTATATGCAGCAATTCCGTCAACTACTTCAATCCAAATCGGCTTGGCAACTGCCCAATGCCAGTGGCCATTTGTTCAGTGTGCTGCGTGCTCTGAAGATTGCGGATGTGCGCTATTGCGATGCCTATTGGTCAGCGGTGGCAGCTGAGCTGCCATCCTGTGCCAAAGACCTGACACATTTGCGTTTCCTACGCGACTGCCAGCGGTACATGAACTTTAACAACAATCTGGGCGGCACCTATCGGCATCAGGAAGTGGAACGTAAGCTGAGTCGCCTGTGCATTCAGGCCATTGAGCAGGATGTAGCAGGCAGATTGCCCACGAAATTTGCCCGTTTGGCCGCCTTTGTTCTCGGCTATGGCCAAACGCCGTTTGCCTGGAAGAAATTTCCCAACGTTCTGCTCAGCAAAATGTTAGCCATGGCACCACAGTTCGATATACAGGATTGTTTTCTGCTCAGTCGTGGCGTGCAGATCGCTTGCGAACTGCGCTTCCGTCAGCATGTGCCACACCTGCTGGCCATGCAGCTGGACACCATGGACAGCATCCTGATTGCCTGTGCCGAGCGCCATTTGAGCAACAGCGAAGAACAGCCCCTCAATGCCAGTGATCTAAGCATCCTCGTGCGCACGCTCAGCCATCGCAAAAGTAAGGCAATGAAACTAACTAATCCCTATGCTAATCCTCATCCCAATCTTTGACAGCTCTGAAGAACACACAGGTGTATAACCAAGCGCTAGCACATTATAAGTCTCTCAATTGCAACGATCTCAATTCGCGCGTTGTACGCGAGATGGCATACAATTTCAATGCCTCGCACTATTTTGTGCCCGAACTGTTGGAGTCCATGTTCGAATATGTGACACAGCAGCACGAGCATATTACAGGCGACACCGTCGAGAAGGTGCTCACCTGTGCCTACAATCTGGGCTATACGCCTGCTTCGCTGGAGGCATTAGACTATGCTGCTTTGGTCTTAATACGGTGCGTAGCAACGCTGATTTCTTGCAGTTATACCCTGTAGCTGTTGATATACGTTTAGAGCGGGTATATTGAGGTTTCGCAGTTGTGATTTTTAACAAGGTGATTCTATCGAGATTAGTGGTATCTTTCCTAAATATGAGAAAAGGGCTATTCGTCTATTCTATTCATCTACTTCAAATATTGTCTTCATATTATATTTATTTTATGTATTATTATATTTACGATTTCTTTAATATATATACTCTGTAGACCGCATTTGATAAATGGAATACGGACCAACATTCCAGACTAGTCATATCTTAAAGTTCAAACATTTCTTATAAAATTAGTTTCTTGCTTATAGTATGATCACCTTGTTCTGCTAACCATATTTTTAGCTCTTCTGCATTTTATTTAAATTGTTAGCTGAGCTGTTATTAACTATATCCCATTACTTATAACTCTTAGTCGTGCTATTAATTCAGTTCTATCTTCTCACTTCCACAGCGACTTTGATCACATGAGCGGTTTATCCTTGGTGCAATCATGCCTTGCTCTTTGCTTCTACAAGTCAATACCCGAGCAGCTAATCAATCAGGTGTTCTGCGTGAAGTTTATCCAGCGCATCGAGGATGAGATCCAGATCTGTTACTCCAAGGCCACATATCCTGGTATGGTGTTGAATCGTGTGATGCAGCTGAATCGTACCGTTTGCCTGGATTTACCTGAAGCAAACGTGCCCTGGTTTCAGCAGAACTATGTCGAGGCGCAGCTCAGCAAGAGTAAGTCAACCAACTATTAAGCTCAATTGGAATAATCGAGGGTATATTTTCGTTTAGAACACTTTGTGCCGAGCGCGTTTAATGCCGATGTAAAGCATCTGCTACACGATCTACTTAAGGATGAAAACTATTTTCGCTGCAATCATACAACGCCCTATGGCTATCAAATAGACTTTGTGATACACTTTGATAAGGACAAACGACCCGTGCGAACGCCTGCCGTTGAGGCAACCATGCTGGACCGCATTACTAAGTAAACATCTATGTATAATAGCTGACACTAAATTTCATAAGTATCTATGCTCTTTCCTTACCAGAGTTGCCATTTTGCTGCTCAAACTAGACTCCTTCTGTGAGAATGATCTGACAGCATTGCGCGGACCCGAATCTTTAAAGATCAAACACCTGGAAATGATGGGTTATAAGGTGCTGCACATAAACGAACACGATTGGAACTCCAAGTATATGAATGCGCCAGGCGCCAAGGCAAACTATTTGAAATGCCTACTGCAAATTTCACATTAGAATTAAAAATTAATTAGTTAATTTGCTAAGACACTTATCACCATTAGGACTTACGTTTAAATTAGTTAAGCTGTGAAGTTGTTGACAATATTGTTTTTTTTTTTGTTGTAATTAGCAAATGACGTTTGTATGTTTATATATTTTACTAGTCATTAACGATTTAAAAAAACCTGTTTAAGATATAATTTTTATATTTGAAAGTTGATGAAATATAAGTAGAAAATAAAAAATTAAATATATCAATGAATAAAAATTGACTTAATATGGGAAAAAGCGATGAAAATTTAATGTCAATTAATAGTTATATAATATATTTAAATGTATAAAGAAAGAAAGTATAAAAATCAGGTAAATAAAGTAAGAAATTACTTACAATTAGAAACCAAAATATAAATGCATGAATTAAAATTGTGTGCATAAAATTTGAAATGAAATGAAAAACATATTTCTTATGTTTCAATGAGTTTTAAAATGAAGGAGAATTAATTTGGAATATCTGGAAGTATAAAAGACAAGCATATTTAGTTTCTATAATATAAAAACCATTTGGAATAGAAGAAAGTAATTATAGAGTAAATCGTATACTTAGGACTGCATGTCCCAAACAATATTTGAGTAGTTTTGTTGGGAAAGCTTTGTTTCGTTTTATAAACGTTTATTCCAAAGCTTTATTATTCCTGGTCTGCAGTGCACCATTTGTAGGCATTGTTGAACATTAGCTGCCAAGGACTCTCGGTTTGTGTGGTGGGTACCTCAAAGCCAGGCGGCACATATGGCCATTGATACATGGCGCTGCAGCGCTCTGGATGTGGCATCAATGCCAAATGACGTCCATCTGGAGAGCAGAGTCCAGCAATTCCTTTTGGACTACCATTGGGATTCATGGGATACAGTTCGGTGGGCACGCCCACATCATCAACGTATTGCAGCGTTACAAGCTGTTCGTTATGCAGCTGCTCGAGCAGTTCTTCGTGCTTGAATGCGAATCGGCCCTCGCCGTGAGCAACCCAACAGCCCAGCACCAAATCCTGCATATTGCTCAACATTATAGAACGATTCGGCGGTATACGAACTGTTGACCAACGGCACTCAAAACGTTGCGAACGATTGTGCAGCAATGCCAGCTGAGGTACAACAGGTGATTTATCCTCATCTTTGATGCTGCCCACGAAATCAATCAATGTCATCAGCTGACAGCCATTGCAAATGCCCAGCGAGAACACATCCTCTCGTTTCTTAAATGCCTCAAATTGGGGTCGTAGAAGGGCATTGTGCAATATATTTGCTGCCCAGCCCTTTGCAGAGCCCAAGGTATCTGCATAGCTAAAGCCGCCAGGAAAGACGAGGCCACGATATTGCGCCAAGGTGGTGCTGCCTGATGGAATAAAGAAATTGAATTAGACAGTTTAATATGCAATGGGACTGTTTAAGCCTTTCACCTGCAAGCAGATCTGACATGGTGACATCATGCACCTCGAAATTGGCACGCAGCAGACTGGCCATCATTTCCCTTTCGCTATTGACTCCCTCCTCTCGCAGCACAGCCACACGTATAGGCTGAGCACATCTCTTTAAGACGAGCTCCGCTTGCAATTGAGCAGGTGCTTTATATTGTGGCGCCTGACGATAATTAAGGCTTTCATATTCCGATTCTGCACATTCCACATTTGCCTGAAGCTTCTCTAGCTCATAGCTAGTGCGTTCCCATTGCCTATAAAGCTGGCGCAGTGGCTTATTCAGTAACGTTTTGGCACCATTTTTAATGAGCACCTGTGCGTCATCTAGACCAAAGCCAGTTGTATGGCCCAAATAATAATTGGGCACACCAGCAGCCTGGAAGCAAGAGCGTACATGCTCCAATTGAGTTTCATCTACTTCCAGAACCCAGCCGCATTCTTCGCTGAACAAGAGACACATATTAACGCCAATCGTGCCGCTCACTGCATCATATTCAGAGATGCCAGCTGTTGCCTCCTTAATGTCCAATTGCAGTCCACTCAGACCGCCAATTGCCATCTCCAGCAGGCACACAATTAGGCCGCCATCGCTAACATCATGACCAGACAGAAGAGCGCCTTTTCCCAGCAAGCTTTGGGTTATCTGAAAAGCGTTGCTCAGCACTTCTGTGCGTTCCATGTTGGGCGTTGTTTTGCCTTGCTGGGCATAAGCTTGCGCTAATGCTGAGCCGCCTAGTCGTGCGCTTTGCTCTATATTGATCCAGAGCAAAGCGCTGGATTTGCCCATTGCCGGACCCTTCAGATCGGGTGTAATGCGCACACGCACATCCGGACAAGGAGCATAGGTGGAGAGAACCAGTGTACCAGGTGATTTGATCACCTCACCATCTACTTTGGCTGCCATTGAAAGTGAATCCTTGCCACCATCGATGCCGATGCGCAGCTGCTGCAGCAAATTGCTGAGCGACAAACAAGCTTCATACATCTTATAACCCTCGCCGGGCAATTTGGCGGCCCACATCCAGTTGCCTGAACACTTGATGTCCGCGATATCGCTAATCTTAACAAAGACCAAATTGCTAAGCGCCTCGGCAACGCACATGTGTGCCATATTAACGGGACTGAGGAGGCCTGTAATATGGAAAATTAAATAATAGCAGAATAGTATATACTCTATAAGCTCACCCATAATGGGCTGTGTGCCGATGGAGGTGGCTATGCCCGAGTTGCTAAAATGCGAGACAGTTGTCAGCGCATAATCCGAGAGTGGCGCCTGCAGTGGACCCACACACTGCTGTTGGACGATGAGTCCACCCACACAGCGATCCACCTTGTTGGTGAGGAAACGTTTGCTGCCCACTGCAACGATGCTTAGAACTCGCTCCAATGCGTCTGCCAACTCCAGTTGCTTTGGCAACTCCAATTGCTTGCTAGGATTAGCAATGGCAGCCAGTTCATAGGTGCGCTTAGGCATATCACCCAATACATAGGACAATTCCAAATCGAAAGGTGAATTGCCGTAGCTTTCACGCGCCTCAGGCAGCAAAGCCTGCTGCATATCCTTCGGTGCCGCTTGCTCGACCAATGTAACGCGACCATCGCCAGTGACCACGCCCACAAAGCTAATGGGACAACGTTCGCGTGCGCAAATCTTCTCCAGCAATTGACGATCCTCGGGCTTGCAGAGTATGGCATTGTTTTCTTGATATTCAGCGCCCCATAGCTCCAGAGCTGTTATGGTTGGATCGCCAAGCTTAAATTCCTTTGAGAAGATGACAGCGCCAGCAAATCCCGGCTCAACCAACTCCTTCAGCACATTTCCATTGCCGCCAGCGCCTTGGTCATGTATGGCCAAGATGGGATTCTGAGCGCCAAGCTCGATGCAGGCACGAACAACACGATTCAATTTATTCTCCATTTCTGGATCGCCACGTTGCACAGCATTAAAATCCAGTTCAGCATCGCCAGAGCCTTGAACCTCCACGGAGCTGGCAGCGCCGCCACCCACACCAATACGATAGACCGGCCCGCCGATCTTAGCCAGCAGCTGACCACGCTCGGGTGTTATTTTATGGCGCATTGAAGCGGGCATCGTACCCAATCCTCCACTGAACATAATGGGTTTCACATACTCCTCACGTATGTTCGGGTCAGCTGCATTATGTAAGCCATAGGAGATGGTAAAACCATTAATCAGTGGCTCGCCAAACTTGTTGCCATAATCCGAGGCGCCGTCGCTTGCCTCGATAAGCACCTGCAGAGGCGGTGCAAATGATCCGGGATACTTGAGACCAACCGGTTCATATGGCTGTCTGTAACCGGGTATATGCAGAGCGCCCACGCAGTAGCCAGCGGTGCCAGCTATGGGCAGACCACCGCGGCCCACACCCTGGACATCGCGCAAACGTCCACCGGTACCAGTGGTGGCACCACTGAACGGTGCCACAGCTGTGGGCATATTATGCGTCTCGGCGGTAAATATCAAATCCGATTCAACACGCTGTAATTCCACAATTCCTGGTGCGCCAATCTCTCGCGGCTGCAGTGCGTCATGTTCGAATCCCACTATAGCACTGCTATTGTCACTGAATTTAATGGTATTATTTGGATTCGTATTCTTCTGTGTATCCATAATGAGTCTGATCAGACTGCTGGGCAGCTCCTGACCCTCATACACCATGCGTCCGCGAAAGAACCAATGTCTGGAATGTTCGCTATTGCTCTGGGCGCAATCGAACAGCTCCACTGTGGTGGGATCTCGCTTTAGAGTCTGAGCAAACAGCTTGTAATAGTAGTCCAAGTCGTAATCATTAAAGGCCAAGCCCAATTGTCGATTGATTTGCTCCAGCGCAGCTCGTCCTTCGGCAAGAATTGGCACATAATGCCAGGCGGCCTGCTGTGCCGGCAGCTGTTCGTCGAAGCTCTCTTGCGGCGTATTCGTTGAAGTATATTGGCAATGGGTCATGCGATCGCCAAGCAGAGTTACATAATGAGCCACCTCCCTAGATGCAGGTTTTGCAAAGGTCAACAGATAACGCGTTGAACTTTCCATGCGACGCACCTCTGTGTAGCCAAGATTTTGAAATATGTTCACGCAGTTGGTCGAGTATGGTGTGGAGAAATTGAAGCGTGGGCCAATCTCCACCAGCATTTCCAATTCGCTGTTTTCCACCTCAAGTGTTGGCCGCTCATTGAGACTGCAGCGCTTCTGCAGTGGCTGCTTAACCAGCCATCTCATCAAATGTTCCAAAGCTAAAGGATATTTGCACAAATCCTTGTTATACTCCAAATGATAGCAACGCTCCATTTTTACCGACACCAAATCCTTGCCAACGCTGTGCAGGCGCTGTAACATGCGCTGCTCCTCGGCAGCGTCAAATGCAGCTGCATCATAAAATCGCAAAATGCCCATTGTCGATTAGCTGTAAATACATGCAACAAACAATTTTATAATTTAAAATTTATTCATAATTAAATAAAAAAAATATTGCATATTGTTAAACTTTTCATTTACTCAAGTTCAAGCACAAAAAAAAACAGCTGCTGCAAACCTTTTTTTTTTTTAAGAATAGCTTTAGAACACTCTCACTCTTCGTTTTTCCTCTTGCTTTTTCTCTCAATGCTCTCTCTCTCTCTCTTCCGTTATCAATATCTATTTGCCTTGGTCACAGTATAACTGTAATAAAAGCTTTACATGAAACAATTGGTCATTTATGTTTTTAGCAATTCGAAAAATCTAATTATATGTACATATAAACCTCTAAAGAACCATGAAGCGCCTAAACACACAAAAACAGCACTAAATAGATATACTTAAATGTAAATTATTTAAATACTTATTTGTATATGAGAGTGCGGGCGACACAACCGATCGAGTAGAGAATCGCGCACAGACTAAATCTTCACTAAGCCGGCATTAGCTCTAATACGCTCAGCTTTATGCTTTCACACAATGCACTTTGCTGCGGAGCAGAGCGTAATAAACAACTTTCTCACTTATACATGCACAATGTTTGTCTCTGCTACAGAGCACTCTGTTAACATACAACGGGATCAAATTCAACTCAACCAATAGAATGACAGCTATGGTTAAACTCATCTCCCACGCTCGCGGCATCCAAAATGTTCACTCTCTGTTATAGCATAACATACATGTATACTTTCACTCATTTCACTACATTTCACTCTGTCTCACTCTATTCTACTTTAAAATAGGGTTTGAATTATATTGAGTGAAAATATACGTACGTAAGCTTGTACGTTTGTATGTAGAGTGCGCCCAAACAACCTTGGGACGCATATTTTGCGATTATCGGCCTACACTAGAACAACTTTACCTACACTTATATCTACGCAAAATAAAACCTTTATTAAGACATCTTGGCAAATAAAACCAATGAAATTACCCTAGGCACACTTTGAACCAATTGACTGCAACCTTACATTTGTTTTTATTATTTAAGTCCGATGTTTTACGTGTGTTCCCTAGACGCTTCTCTGCCAGACTGAACGCTAACACTGGAACTAGAGTCTAGCACAGGTTTTCAAGCCGTTGGCAACTGCAACACCCCTGGCAGGGGGTTATCAGCCAACCACAGATCAGCGTCTCATGTTACACACAGCAGACGCCCAGTTGCAATTGCAGTCATTGGCACTGGCGTCATAATTCGTATTTTTGTTTTTGTTACTGCTGATAAACAGCAAAATCGTAAACATATTTTTTTTCTCAACACAAACAACTTTTTTGTTGAAATTATCTATTTACTTTAACTACAATAACTAGATTTTTATAAATGAACTAACCCAAATTGGAAGACAATAAGCGGCGCGCACGTGCGAATCAAGCAAAGAACACTAAAAAGCAAAAGTAAAAGAGAGAGCGAGAAAATGAGCCTGATGCGCACGTTTTATTAGCAGCAAATTGGCAACTAGGCTTGACAAGTTCAAAACAGCTGTTGAAAGCTTTATGGTTACCCTGTACTAAAAGACATTGCAAATAGGGTAGATATGTAGCTTGTACAGCTAATACTTTATGCGAATTAATGCAATTTTAAACATTTTTAGCAGACGTTCCTACTAAAATAAAAATAATTAAATACTATAATATATTATTTGTAATGTATAATGCTGACTATTTGGAATTTTCAAATATACGTATATGTAAGTATGTCTGCACATATGTTCAAAATAAATTCTTTGCTCGTGTGTGAAGCAGACTATGTCACGCGCACATTACTGTCTGAAATTAAAAAAAACTTTTTTACTTTTCATTGTTGTACTGTTGCTAGTGACGCCGTCAATTCGCCGCGTATAGCAACAGCCACCACATTAAAATAAGCAGCGTCACAGAAAGCTTTACCCAAAAACAAAACTAGCGAAAAGAAAGACGCTATCAAAACGTGTGCACCAACACAACAGTAATCAGAACTTATCTAGGTTTAATTTTAAATGTAAATACATATGTATTTGCCCACAAGTATTTCAATCAATTTAGCGGTCATCAGCGATGATAGTGTTGGTCGCCAAGTACGCAATATATGCATGCATAATATACATGTACATACATAAATATAAATAAATTAAAATCATGAAAATCGTTTGTTTGAATAGTTTTCTTAGAGCGTTTCTTGAATTATTATTCGTGCTCGCTTTTTATTATTTTTTTTTCAGGCTTTTTTTAATTTGTTGCATTTATTACAAACTATATTTTGGTTTTTATTTATGAATAAATAACTTTTGCTACTTTGCTGCTCTCTCTGTTGTTGATGTCGCTTCATCTGTTGATATTGGTAGGGAGGTTATTGTGTGGGTTACGTTAACTATCTGACCCTCGTATCTACCAATCACAGCAACTTTCAGCAATCATATGGAAAAGGTTTCTTTTTTTTTTTTTGTAGTTTTTCTTTTTTTTTAAATTTGAATTTAAAAAATATATCAAAGCAGACGAATCAAATATTTCGTTTGCTATTTTGCAAAGAGAAGATTATGTTGAATTGAATTAATATTTTGTTTTATGTGTTTTAATGTTCGTTCGATTATTTTATGGTTGTTTGTTTATTTTTGTTGTACTACGACAAAGCAGCGTACCCGACGATGCGCCTACAACGTTAATTTCCTATTCACTACGTCGAAAATAACGGCACCCACTTACAAATATGGTGCACGATAGATAAATAGTTATCTATGCTCGATATCAATAACATTTATGTTATGTGCATCGCTTTCGCCGCTTTGGCTGCCTGTGCACCAATCTCATCCATACTCTTTCGCGCACTCTCTGTGACTTCGTCAATGGAACGTCGCGTACTGTGTATCAATTCATCTGTGCCCCGTGCAGCCGAATCAGCAATGCTTTTCACCTCCGTATTGATCAGGCCAATGACCCATTCAAGGCCCTGACGGCCCTTGCCTGCATTTGAGCTTATTGTATTAGCTAGCAAATCTTCCATATAGTGTGAGAGAGGCACTCCATAGACAGTTACTGTTGCCTCCTGCTTAAGCAGGGTTTTGGTTGAATCGCCCGGATGTGGCTCATAGTAGAGAACCTCGTCAACGCTAATATTGCGGCAAAATGTTAAGTTATTTGTCTTTAAGACCATCTGTTTGCGCTGCGGATCCACTGTGGAACGTTCGCTGGCGAAGCAAGTCTTCGCCGTGCCAATCAGCGCGTGCGTCCACTTCGGGAAATACCATTTTGACTGAACGAGACGATGTGTGTGTAGAACTCCATTTACCACTCTACGTTCGACGACATCGGTACCAATTATCGATGGTGTCATTGGATTTGGATATTTGCGCCAGGCGGCCTGTGTGACCGTCTCCCATGGATGGTTGAAGACATGTTCGGACGTCCAGATTTTCATTATGCAAGCGTCGCTGGCGTTACCTCTTCTCTATTGTACGTATTTCTCTCTTGGTCGTTACTGCTGTTTCGCAATCGGGGCGCGACACTGGGACTGCCTGTATATCGCCGAGGCAACAGAGCAGAATAAAATGTAAAAAAATTGTGTTTAGGTTCGTTTTACAAAAGAAATTTTGAGAAAAATTTGTAATAAATTTTTTGGTGACAAATACTGAGGACCGACCTTTACTCAGGTGTTCTGCGAGTAGTGTGACTGCTCGGCTATCGATGTCTTTGTTGGTTTTATCGGTATGTCGATAACTAAGAAATTATTATGTGGCCACTCTTAAGAAACATCGTTAAATATCGGCAGCGCAGGTAGTACAACACTGAAAACGGTTAATACTTGCCCCTGGTTGTTTAAATCTATGTATATTAACTAAATAGAAAATTGACTAGAATCTCAATTTTAAAAGTAGGTCTTTTAATATTTTTTATACTAACTATACTAAATTTGTATACCAAAAATTATTCAGCACGAAACGTTCGAACGTAGGCCTCATATGGACGTGAATCAATGCGTCGTAGTCGTTCTTCTAAGAATTGCCGAAACTCTTGCATTTCGTTGGCGTCTCGCGCTAATTTTTTCAGCTCAGCCTTTAGGCCTTCCTGTAGTGCCTCCTGGCTGGGCCTTCCAGGTTCTTTTTTCAGTGCTTTTTCCATACGCAATATTATTTGATTACGTATTTTATCGATTTCATAGCTCATGATGTTAGCCAAAGCTCTGGTGGGTGTTCGACGGGCTGTACTTGTTGATTTCGTTGGTACAACATGCGATGATTCAGTTTCCACTGAGGAACTGGATGATCGTTTCGGTGGTTGTTGTTGATGCTGCGGTTGCGGTTGAGACTGCTGCTGCGTTTGTTGCTTCTGCTGCTGCTCCTGCTCTTCGTTTCCATTATGCATTTTATCGCTCTGGTATTCCATCATTTTGGCTAATGCCCGAACGGGTGTGCCGCGTAGTTTAATGGTCGAGGGAACCGTTGATGATTGTGCCTGCTCGTGCCCATTATTTTTTTCGGAATCCGTATCAGATGGCTGATCAATAAACTCCATTAACGAGGGCTCTTCTGGATGTGTCTGCCCATCGGATTGAGCAGCTGTTGTGGATTGTTGAAAGTTGATCAAATGAAATACCCCATCCGTGTCGTAAAACTTGTAGCCCAGCATTTCCAGGGCGATTTCCGTTAATAAATATGACATTTTAGCGAAGAATTTTTTGTTGTTCAATTGACCCAGCGTTAGCTAGAGATGTGCGTATTTCCGATGAGAATCGTGAGCGTAAATATTGAACCAAATGTTAATTTAGTATCTAATTAAGTATTTACTTAAAATATTTCATTTATTAATAAACAATATTAATAACAATATTAATAAACAATATTAATCAAAATGTTATGTAATAAAAACGTAAAAATGATATGTGAGAAAAGTTAAATTTTTGGCAATCGAAACATACGACATTAACAGCCATCTCTAGAAGCCCAAATTTATTTATCTAAATTAGACGTGGTAGCACTGTTTAATGTAGAAAACAGCTGTTTTGGCAAAGGTATGAATTGATGTACGACGCATTTATTGACATAGATATGTAAATGAAATATTGAATATTGCCAAATTAAAGCAAACAAAGCCCATTTTTAAATGTTTTTACGAAACAAACATTTTTAGTTAATGAGCCGATATGAAAATCAACGAAAAGAACCTATGTGTTTTTGCCCGATCGCCACCATTCGACATGGAGGGTAAATAAATGAAATAATCTAAGTAAATAAATATAATGAATGTCACACCTATTTGTGCTATTATTAATCACTCGCTCAGGCTTCCTCAACAAGCGCGGCGAAATCAATAAAGCATTTCAACGGCGCTATTTTGTGCTCAAAGGCAATTTGCTTTTCTATTTCGAGACGCGCCTGGACAAGGAGCCACTTGGTTTGATCATAGTGGAAGGCTGTACCATAGAACTATCGCAAGAGTTAGATGCCGATAACTATTGCTTTGAGATTGCCTTCAATGGCAACCGCACATATATACTGGCTGCCGATACACAAGAGTGCATGGAAGCATGGATGAAGGCCTTAACATGCGCCGGCTACGAATATAAACGGATTATTGTCGCTGAGCTCCAGCGTCAGCTTCATGAGATCGAATACTCTCGGAACAGTGGGTGACAAAAATTATTGCTTTGTGTTTTTAACTAATTACATTTTGTTGCAGAGATGCGCAGCGAGCGTAGTGAACCACATCACAATGTAACGGATGGCCAGGACAAACCTATACCACCACCCAGACGTCCTAATCCCTTCAATCGACCACCACCACCTCCGCCAATTGAAGCGGGTGGTGTGCGAGGCGGTGTAGTCATATCGCCGTTACCCTACATCTCCGACTACTATGCCGTGAGCAAAGCGAAGGCAGCGCAACAGGAGCTACAATACCTAGGTAAGTCATTGATGACGTCATCGGCTGCGTCACTCAGCAACTGTTTCGTTAAAATTCTAAGGGTTACCGTTACATGCCAGACAAACAAAAAGCGAAAATATCGAGAGTAATGCAGGTAGTCGCGGTATAGATACCCTGGGGAAAACTGATTGTTAAACTTGGATTGGTTGATTTGATTCAGTACTAATTCAGTAATTTGAGAGTTAATGTATCCTGTAAAAAATTAATTGCTGAAACTCAGCTTATTTGTTGTGTTAGCAAAACTACCGTAACATAACTTAATTAGCACGAATATAGTATATATTTATATTATATATACACGTTGGTAGTTTAAATAATTTCAAGATCACAGCCGATATTACATTGCTTAAAAATAAATGAAGACAGTAAACTTAATGTGAATTTATGAAAATTAATATATCTTTATAAAAGAATATTAAAAATAATATTACTATTTTGTTAAATCTAAAAAATATTAGATATTTTTTTTCATAAAAAATTTACATATAGTGTAGGCGTTTTGTTAAATGTGTTACATAATAGCTTTTCAAATTGTCATGCCCTGTGCGAAGGTATAAAGTGCACATAGGGAAACAATTTGCAGTGTAGGCAAAGACAGAAGCGTGCGCGTAAATCTTTCTGCACAAAGCCTTATCTCAGTTGCTTTCGTACGCTGGCTTTGCAATGCCGCTCTGCGAGCTAATGGAAAAGATCTGCTGCATATTTCCACACAGAGGCTATAAGTTGTTGATGAATGTTTCAGATAATGGCAATGGTAATGGCAATGCAGGCAGCCCACAGTCAACGCCTCGATCACGCCGACGTCACGCATTGGGCGCATCGCCGAGCGTCTTCTATGATGATCAGCCCGTGGGAACGACTAGATCAACAGTATTAGCTAAAAGCAACAATAATAATCACATTGATCGAGTGGAGCAGAAGCGTCGCCTGGACAAAGCCATCGAGAAGTTCAGCAAACGTCACGAAAAGTTTCGTGAAATTATCATGCACGACATCTTGTTGTACAGAGAACGTCAAGAACAGCCATTGATACAATTGTAGACAACGAGAGAATTGTGCGAGAATGCGCATTTTGGGCCTATTTTGTACGTTGAAAAATTTAAATTTATAATTCTATTTATGTTCAATTTCCATAATCCTTAAATATACATATATATATATACATACACGAGAAAGACCTATCCACTAATACAGAGCCAATTGTTAATTGCTTATAAATTATATTAAATTTAATTTTTTTTCTATAATTGTGTAAGATACTCTCTAAGCAGCTCGTTGCGTTCGCGTTGTATCGCATTAGATTCGTCGATCCGTTTGCTTAGCTCTCGTATGGCGGCAATCCGATTGCGTTCCAAGATTAATAATTGTCGTTGCTGTTCCTGGCTGACAGAGATGTCTGCGCTGGTTCCACTATCTGTGGCAAGGGCTTGAGCGTCTATCGACGCGCACATATCTGATAATGCAATGTGCGGCGGCTGTTGCTGTTCAGCAGCATCAATTTCGATCTTCCCGGCAGCGGGCGCCTGTTCATTTTGAAACATTTCGTCGAAGGTATCATAATATTCCCATGCAACACGTTTACGTCCGTTCTTGCGCAATGTTTCGCGACACGTTCGATACGTCTTCTTCATGTTGCGCCATTTGCGATCACAGATGTCTTCATTAATGCCCTTGTAGCCAGCACGTTCCATATCATCTACAATCTCCGTCCAGAGTGCGCGTTTTCGTGTTTTGGGATCACGAAATCTGTGGCGTCGTTCCGCATAGAGTTCGACCAACAGCTTGGTGCTTTTTACATTCCAATGCCATTCTTCCACACCGCCCTCGCATTCCAGATAGTAATGTGTTGTTTCAGTCTCGTCGTTGTCCATTTTATTCATATCCTGGCCAAAACAGCCAGGCTCTTTTTCTTACATTAAAAAATAACAAAAATAACTAGGGCTGCGGTACTGTTATCGATGGCGACAGCAAAAATATCGACATATGGAACTATCTTAGGTATTTTTTAGGTCATTTTCCGTTTGCAATCTGTGCATACACTTATTGCTCTGACCGCTTTACTTTTTGTTGTTTTTGCTGCGTACGGAACAGGAACGGTATACGAGAAGTTATTAGTTGTGAAGATTGAATTGTAAGTTGTTGACTGTTAATATAACTAAAAATTAGGTGAATCGTTTAAATCTGAGTAAAGTTGTGCAATGCGGTTAGTTAAGTTTCTGCCAAAAGTTCCCTAAATGTGTTACCTTTCTTTGCTGTTTTTGTAAAAGTGACGCCAACATTTCAAATTTGATTTTAAGCCGCCGTTCAATTAAATCTTTCGTTTGATATAGTGGATATTAAACGGCGTATTATTTACTAACCGCTGAATTATCAGATATAATAGTTCTGTGCGAATCTGTCTTTTCAATAGAAGTTCAAAAGTACTCTGCGGTCGGCGTTAGCAGCGCAGCGGGCTTACTTTGTTGGCGTTCATTTTGTTTTTCCATGCTTGCAAAACCACCACATAAACACATACGCACATACACACTTACACACTTACACATACAGAACAAACAGCGCGTGAGAGCTGCGATTAGAGATGAGCGCTATCAACATTCGCATACGACGCGTGCTAAAGTTAGCAAAGTTAAATTAACATTATTTACACATTTGTTGTAATTAAAATAAGTTTATTCAATTCGAAATGCAGTTGAAATCAAACAAAACTGTAATTGTGATTGTCACGTATATCAAATATCAAGGAAAACAACATATTTGTGTGTGCGCATCGTGTCACGCACACAGCACTATGAGTAACCGCTACGCTCTGCTGCGTACGAATTCTGGTTCTGGCTCTCAATGTTTGCTGGTCTCTTTACAGCTGCAGAGAGACAAAGATAGAGACGCATTACTGCTAATTGAAAGATGTCCGCTAAGCGCAAGGCAGGTGGTAACGGGGCCGGTCCCAACAAGCGTCGCCCAAAGAAGAAGGAATCAGACTACGAGGATGAGTTCAGTGATGAATCCGACGATGATGTCGCTCAACAGCAACAACATGCTGCAGGTCAAATGGAGGTGCTAATACCACACGATAGTCTGGATCCACCCAGTAAGCTGCCAGAGGATTTGCTGGCAACGCTGGAGAAGACGCCGGGTCAGCTATTGATAGCCGGCATGGTGACCTGGGATCTAACCGGCAAACGAGATCGCAAAAATGTCACAAAAGTGCGTCCCAATCTGTATAGCTTTCATCGCTTCACAGATGAGATGGTAAGTGCGAATTAAGAATATGAAAAAACCGAATTACCGTATTCCATAACTTGCAGTATCGCTATGCAGCTAGTGGGCCCACTGCAGCGCACACAATACTCATCAATATGGATCGCAAGGCACTGGGGTTCGGCCGCAATCCCAGCGGTCAGCTTGGCTTGAGCCAGGACATGAAGCTGGTGGAGAAGCCAACACTCATTCCTGCATTGGAGCAGCTGAACATTGTACAAGCAGCCGCTGGGCGGCATCATACGCTCTTTCTCACCGACACAGGCACCGTCTATGCCTGCGGAGAAAATAAGTCCGGTCAATGTGGAGTTGGCAATGCACATCCCAACATCTTCACTCCGACTCCAATTAATTATCGCGGTCCACCGATTATACGCATCGGCTGCGGTGCTGAATTCTCAGTTATACTCGATATTAAGGGCAATTTGCATACATTTGGCTTGCCGGAATATGGCCAATTGGGTCACAACACGGATGCCAAGTATTTTGTGAATGCCAATAAGTTGTCATTCCATTTTGAGACATCACCGAAAAAGGTTGTACTCTACATTGAGAAGAGCAAGGAGGGACATGTGACCCCTGTCGATGGTGTACAAATTGTCGACTTTGCTTGTGGCAATAATCACACGGTACGTGGAACGAAATGATTTATAAGACTATGGTTAAATTTTATGTTTTACTGTTCACAGGTGGCTATTGACTCCAAGAAGCGTGTTTATAGCTGGGGCTTTGGCGGCTTTGGTCGTTTGGGTCATGCCGAACCCAAGGATGAGATGGTGCCGCGTCTTATGAAGTTCTTTGATACCCAGGGACGTGGCGGACGCAGCGTTTACTGCGGCTCAACCTTCAGTTTAATTATAAACGAGCTGGGACTGCTCTATCTGTTTGGCCAGAACAAAAAGACAGGCGAGGCCAACATGTATCCCAAGCCAGTGCAAGATTTGGCAGGCAAGTCAACATTTACCCAAATCATCCATATTAGATACTTAACTGATTCTTGTTGTTTCTTCTTCTACATATAGGCTGGAACATAACATCAATTGGCTGTGCCAATACCTCAATTATGATATCGGCCGATGATACTTTAATTGCCTGGGGAGCATCACCAACATTTGGCGAGCTGGGCATTGGTGAGTTTCAGAAGTCGTCGACGGTGCCCAAGGAGGTGCCAAAAATGGACGGGATTAAAATACCTCAGGTTACCATGGGCTATTCCCATACGGCCTTGCTAGTGGATACCACACACGAGGCCACCAAGCAAAAGTATGAAAAAATGCCCGAATATACTATCGAAGATTGAACACACAAACAAACACACACCAGCAACAAGAAAAAGAAATATATATAAATGATAAAAAAAAAAACAAATGATAAAACATTAAGTATACCGCTGCCAACAACAATACTGCTATATTTATATAGATACTACAAAAAAACTTGAACTGATCAACGAAACTCTGCTGCTACTTACTATAAAAAAAAAAAAACAAAAAACAAAAAAAAGGAGAAAAAACAGAATTAACTCATTCAACATTTCATACTATAAGTTTTAAAAGTAATTTATCTACTCCGAGAACTCTCACCAACTCCCACAACTTATATCTCAAATATCGTTTGTGTATTTATAACAGCATTACGATTTGGTTAATTAAGTTCTTTTCCTCATAATTTATTTTACTATTTCCTTGATATTTATGAAAAGTATTTTGTATGAATTGCTGTCTTTAATTTATTGCCGCCCATGATTAGGCTTAAAATTTGTCCAAATATCCCCTCTATTCCAATAAAAATAAAAACAAAAACAAATTATTTATGTACAATTTTTAAATACAAAATGCTGCTTAGTTATTTAAGATCCATTAATTTACAATATTGTCCAATTATGACAGCATCATGAACAACCCGATCAAAAAAAAAATAACTACAATGTATAATTAAGTGCATAAGTTACATATATAAATATATATACAACAAACAAAACACAAAAGAAAGTATACAACGGACGGAAATCCAATACAAGTTGCAACTATTAAAAAACATCAAGCATTTTAATCATATACAAGAATATTTAAATAAAAAGAAAAACATGTTAGTATTTAAACGGAGCGTATTCATTTGATTTGAGCTCGGATAAAGGAGTTTTAAAGGAATAAATATATAGATTTATACTATTTATTTATAATTGAATAAATATATAGATATATACTATATATTTTTGGTATTGGTTGATGTTCATGAGTATATATTCTAAATCAAGTCCAGCAACTTATTTTAACATATATATTTCTAGTGGGCGTAAAATCTTTATAAAGCGAGAGTCCCAATGAGTATATGTTGCAAGTTTCATGTTAGCATCAGCTAAACGGATATTGCACAAAACCAATATACCCTATATATATACTTCATCGACGAGCATAAAAACCAAAATAAAAATAGAAACCCACGCAAGGGGTTTGATTTTTATTAATTATTTGTAATGTTTGTAAAAGTTTCAAGCTTAAGTTTTTGTAGTTTATCAGTTTTTCTTTTAATTATTTATTTTTGACTTACTTCCAAATTTAACTTGCTTAATTTGTTATCACCGGCCCAGCTAGGTCCTGGCGGCTATCACAAATGAAAGCGAAAGTTAAGCATTTGAGAGACTACAAAAAGCTTTTTCACAGACCAACAATCAAAAGCTTTCTGCCTTACTCACGACTTTTAACTCCGAACTCTGACTCTCTTGCTCGCTCTCTCTTTTCGCTCGCTCGCTCTCTCGATTTGGCTGTCTTGAGGTTTTTGGTTGGCTTCAGCACAATTTTCA